ATTAATAATGAAAAATGTGTTTATAGATAAACTCCATGTGTGCTTCGAGTGAACTGTGGTTGAGTAACTTCCACACTTGGCAGAACACAGGTTGAGTTTATGTCGATTACTCATCGAGCTCATAGTTATTTTATGCACTTGTAAATGCAGCCGCTCACCCTGCACTTTCTAGCTGACTTCCAGCCCAGCCTCATCGCTTACCAAGTGGCTTTGGACCGGTTGTTGAGCCACTCAGAGCTTCTGTTTCTTCTCTTTTGTTAAATGAAGATGATGATGTTCTTCCTGAGGTGGAAGTAAGCACTGTGGGAGAGGAGACAGGTGAGCGTGTGAACACTCGCAGGCTTCATGCTTTACTGTGTGGTCGACAAACAGATGTAATGCAGGCTTTTTGGGAAGAGGCACGTCCTGGAACGTGCCTGTCTCCCATTTAACATGTAGAGCCCTTTTTCTGAGTCTGAATGGAAAGAATTTGCCAAAATATTTGCCAGAGGAATGTGTTGTGGAGCCTTTCTCAATCCCCTTACCAACAAGTTTATCATAATTCTTAGAAGAGTACACTGTTTTACATCTGAAGCAGCATTTAACTTGAAGAAAGCTCTGCTTTTGTGTGTAATCACCTCCTTGGCCTACTGACAGTTTGAAAGGCTTGCAGAGCAACCCAAGTGTGTTATTTTCTTCTAACTCGCTGTATTTATTTAGTGCTGAATGTTACCCTATAGTAAGATCCTACGCTCAACGCATTTACTGTGTAAAGACAAAGTTGTCGTTGTTCAGTCACTCAGTCTTTCTGACTCTTTTGTGACCCCATGGACTGCAGCATGCCAGGCTTCCCTGTCTTTTGCCGTTTCCCAGTTTGCTCAGAATCACGTCCATTGAGTCAGTGATGCTATATAACTATCTCATCTTCTGCCGACCTCTTCTCCTTTGCCTTCAATCTTTCCCAGCATCGGAGTCTTTTCCAATGAGGTGGCCCTTTGCATCGGGTCGCCAAAGTACTAGAGCTTCAGCTTCAGCATCAGTCCTTCCAGTGAATATTCAGGGTTGATTTCCTTTAGAATTGACTGGTTTGATCTCCTTGCAGTCCAAGGAACTCTTAAGAGTCTTCTCCAGCACCTCAATTCGAACATCAGTTCTTTGGCACTCAGCCTTCTTTATGGTCCAACCCTCACATCTGTACATGACTCCTGAAAAAAACTATAGCTTTGACTAGATGGACCTTTGTTGTCAAAGTGATGTCTCTGCTTTTTAATAGCCTGTCTGGGTTTGTCATAGCTTTTCATCCAAGGAGCAAGTGTCTTTTAATTTTGTGGCTGCAGTCAGCATTCACAGTGATTTTGGATTCCAAGAAAATAAAATATATCCTTGTTTCTACTTTTTCCCCTTCTATTTGCCATGATGTGATGGGACCAGATGCCGTGATCTTAGTTTTTTGAGTGTTGAGTTTGAAGCCACCGTTTTCACTCTCCTTTTTTACCCTCATCAAGACGCTCTTTAGTTCCTCTTTGCTTTCTGCCATTAGAGTGGTATCATCTGAATATCTGGGGTTGTTGATATGCTTCCCAGCAATCTTGATTCCAGCCTGTGATTTATCCAGCTCAGCATTTCACATGTGCCCTGCATATAAGGTAAGTAAACAGGATAACAATATACAGCCTTGATGTACCTTTCCCAATTTTGAACCAGTTTGTTGTTCCATGTCTGATTCTAACTGTTGCTTCTTTACATGCATACAGGTTTCTCAGGAGGCAAGTAACGTGGTCTATTCCTATCTCTTTAAGAATTTTCCACGGTTTGTTGTGATCCACACAGTCAAAGGCTTTAGCATAGTCAGTGAAGCAGAGGCAGAAGTAGATGTTTTTCTGGAATTCCCTTGCTTTCTCTATGATCCAACAGTTGTTGGCAATTTGATCTCTGGTTCCTTTGCCTTTTCTAGATCCAGCTTGTCCATCTGGAACTTCTCAGTTCATGTACTGCTGAAGCCTAGTTTGAAGGATTTTGAGTGTTACTTGGCTAGCATGTGAAATGAGCACAATTGTACAGTAGTTTGAACATTCATTGGCATTACCTTTCTTTGGGATTGGAATGCAAACTGACCTTTTCCAGTCCTGTGGCTGCTACTGAGTTTTCCAGTTTTGCTGACATGTAAAAGACAAAGTACAGGCAAAGAAAAATGGAAAGAGGGCTTGCAGAAATATGGAAATTGAAAGCTTTATCTGCTTTAGATAATAAGAAGTTGTAATAAATAGGACTGGTTATATGGATGGGCAGTAGAGAAGAAATTGCTTAGTTGCTCAGTTGTGTCCAACTGTTTGGTGACCCCGTGGACTGTAGCCCACCAGGCTCCTCTGTTCATGGAATATTCCAGGCAAAGATACTGGAGTGGATTGCTGTTTCCTTCTCCAGGGGATCTTCACAACCTAAGGAACAAACCCGTCTGGTGGGCTACAGTCCATGGGGTCACGAAATGGTTGGACACAACTGAGCAGCTAAACAATTGTGCTCTGGAGCTCAGGACCCACAACGATTAGTCCATGAGCCGCAGCTGCTTCGCCCTCATGTGCCAGGGCCTGTGCTCAGCAACGGGAGCAGCTACCACAGTGAGAAGCCTGCGCACCCCAACTAGAGAGTAGCCCCTGCTCGCCACAACTAGAGAAAAGCCTGTGCAGCAACAGAGACCCAGCACAACCAAAAATAAATAAATTATTAAAAAACAGACAAGAGAGAACAGTTGGTGAGGATGTGGATGATAGGGAACCCTCGTGCACTGTTGGTGGGCTTGTAAATTGGTGCAGCCACTGTGGAAAACTGTATGGAGGTTTCTCAAAAAATTAACAGTAGCACTTACCATATGATCCAACAATTCCACTCTGGGTGTACATCTGAAGGAAACAAAATCACTGTGTCGAAGAGATATCTCCACCCTCCTGTTCACTGAAGCATTTCTCAACGATAGCCAAGACATGGAAGTGACCTAAGAGTCCATTGACAGATGAATGAGTAAAGAAAATGTGGTATATGTATACAGTGGAATACTATTGAGCCATAAAAAAGAAGGAAATCCTGCTATTTGCAACAATATGGATGGATCTTGAGGGCATTATGCTAAGTGAAATAAGTCAGAGGAAGAAAAAATAGCGTATGATCTCACTTATATGTGGAATCATTAAAACAAGAAAAACTTCAAAGAAACAGAGGTCAGACTTGTGGTTGCCAGGGTAGAGAAATTGATTTAAGGTGGGTACAGAAGGTACCAACTTCCAGTTTAGGTTCTGAGGGTGTAATGTGCAGTGATGACTCTAGTCACTGATGTTTAGTCACTCAGTCGTATCTTACTCTCTTGCAACACTCATGGACTGTAGCCCTCCAGGCTCCTCTGTCCAAGGGATTTCCTAGACAGGAATGCTAGAGTGGGTTGCCATTTCCTTCTCCAGGGGATCTTCCCAGCCCAGTGATCGAACCTGTGTTTCCTGCAGTGGCAGGCAGATTCTTTACCACTGAGCCACCAGGGAAGCCCATAGTTAATAATACCATATTGTATATTTGAAAGTTACTGTGAGAATAGATCTTAAAAGTTCTCATTATAAGGAAAAGGATATTTGTAACTGTGTGAGGTGATGTTAACTTACCGTGGTAATCATTTCACAGTACATCAAATCATTCTGAGATACACCTTCAGCTTACATAATGTTATGTGTCAATTATATTTTAACAGAACTAGAAAAAAATTACTTGTTGTGCAAAAGGACAAATAAAATAAGTTAAGAACTACATATGTTAAAACTATTCAGCAATTATGTCCTCCTATTCTTAGAGGGGTTCCCTGGTAGCTCAGCAGTAAAGAATCTGCCTGCCAATGCAGGAGACACGAGTTCAGTCTTTGTGGGGAAGATCCCCTGGAGAAGGATATGGCCAACCCATTCCGGTATTCTCGCCTGGAGAATCCCATGGACAGAGGAGCCTGGTGGACTATAGTCTATAGGGTCACAAAAGAGTCGGACACGACCTGGCAACTAAAAACAATTCTTAGATCTCTCCTAAAACCGTTTTTTAAAAGTTTATCTTTTTGGCAAAGATAGTTTTGGAGAAAATTTTTTATATACAAGGGGATGTACAGTAAATTTCTTTTTTACAAAAAAAAAAAAAATTTCTTTTTTACTCTTGTCTCTTTCCCCTGGTTTCTTTCCTTAGAGGTCAGTCATTGTTAAATTTTTTGTGTGTCCTTCCGGGATAGTCCAAGCATACATTGTGTGTGTGTGTTACAGTTTTAAAACACGTAACATAGTGTGCTATACCAGTATTCTGTACTTTACTTTTTTCATTTAGCAGTATATTTTGTTGATCATTTCATATAGCTCATATATATAAGACTGACTCTTTTGATTGCTCGTTTAAACTCCAAACAATGGAGGTACAAACTATGGAGGTATTTAAATTCTTAAATTCTTATTTAAGAATTTCTTTATTGGTAAACATTTACATAGCTTCCAATCTTTTGACATGGTTAAAAATGTTGTAGTGACTATCCTACCTGCATTTGTAATTTGGTACATATTATAAAATTGCCTCCAGACTTAGCTGAAATAGTTTACATTCCCAACAGCAGTTTAACAAAAGCCTGTTTCCCCATATCCTCAGCAACAAAATGTTTTTTGAATTTTTTTGTCAATTTAACTGATGAAAAATAGTATCCTATTATAGTTTTAATTTGTATTTTTCTAATTGTGAGTGAATTTTTATATTTTTTAAAATGCTATATGTCAGTTGTATTTATTTTCCTGTGAACAGCATAACATGCTTATGTCCTTGCTTACTTTTCAGTTGCTTTTTTTCCTTATTGAATCATATAAACTCTTTGTATATTAAGGAAATTGACCCATTACATGTGATGCAAGTATTTTTTACCAAGTTATTATGTTTTTAATTTTCTTTATGTTACATGATTATTTTATAATTGTGCAAACTAAGTGAATTTGATTCCTCAATTATTTTTTTCTACATAGGATTTCTTAATATTTGGAATCTAAGGACTGGAAAGTATCCTATTCATCGTTTTGAGCATGATGCAAGAATACAAGCACTAGCCCTCAGCCAGGAAGATGCAACAATTGCCACAGCTTCTGCTTTTGATGTCGTAATGTTATGCCCCAATGAGGAGGGAAATCTGCAAATAGCTGCAGAATTTGAAGTTCAGAAACTGGTGAGCTTTTAGTCTGATTGTTCTGTTTTTCATTCTTAGAATCTCTGGGTCTGATATAAACAGAAATGATATTGACAGCGCCCATCCGCTCAGGGCTTCCTGTGGCTCTTTGTCCATAAATCTCACAGGAGCTTTGTGAAATAGGAAGTTTTGTTTCCTCTGTTTACCAAGAAGTCAGTAGAGACTTCGAGTGGTGAACTGTCTGTTGCCCTAGATAAGAAGTTGTGATTTCGACCCCAGGACTGACATTGGGGGCTGCAGTTTCTCATCGCTGGCATCCTCAGCCTCCTTCACATTAACGGGACGTTCATCCCGGGAATCTGAGACCAGGATCTGGCCTGATACATGGGTGAAAATGAGTGCATTGGTACATCCCGGGCCATGTGGGAAAGAAGGTTTCCCTCCTACACTTTTTCCATCTGAAGGTTTTCTCACTTGGCATCAGGAGTAATTCTTGAATGAGAATGGGTTTAGTCAGTGTTGATCAGTGTTGATCACGGTGTTCCTCGACACTGTGTGTGAAACTGAGCTCGCCTTAGTAGTTCATTACATGGAGCCCGTTTCTGAGTTCATTTGTGCCCAAACCTCTACATTTGTACGGTGGGAGACGATGTGATGGTAAGAAGGAAGAGCTGAAACCTGTTTATGTTGAATTTGGGTTTGGTTTAAAGCAAACTTGATTTTGGCACTTGTAGGAGAGTGAACAGAAAAGCCAACACTGAATAATAAATTGATGGCCTGACCTGGAACAAATCCTATTCCTTTCCCTTTTCCTCCTAGTGGAAATCTTATTAGACACGAATAACTAAAAAGCCATGGTATCACCACTTTACCTCTGTAAGCCGCTTGTCCCTTTAACGACAAGCCTCTCTGGTTAGGGGGTAGCGTTCCCCAAAATGCCTGGTGCTGTATTCTCCTCTTGGGATTTTATTAGAGAAATGCAAAAGTGCCATATTTCCATTTCTTCTCAAAACCACATAGTGCTTGTTATTTGGCCTCTGCCTAAAGAACTCTGTAGATTAACAATGATTATAAACTCAGACAATTACTTAAGATGTGAGTCCCTCCAGAAAGTCCAAATCCAGCCTTGGCAATCAGGTGGCATGCTGGCACCAACCAGAAGCTTTGTGAAGTTGTGTCCAGTTGCCAGCAAATGGCACAGTCACAGTCAGTCTGAGCTCTTGGTCTGTCAGAAATCCAACATGAAGGTGAAATTTAACAGCTAGACTGAGGATGTTGATTTTAGGAAAGCAAGAAGTGACGTTTAGGATGGGGGACAGAGGACTCAAGCAGCCATTGCTGGAGGCATGTGTCATAACAGTGTTCATTGTTTCTCATCCTGGATGAGGGCCATCCCTGGAAAAGGCACCTCCGGGCCGGTGGCTGGGCCATCTTTGTCTTCCTCAGATAGGCTCCCTGAGTCACAGTGGCAGTGTTCCCGGGTCTGTAGTGCCAGCCCAGAACAGCTGTCCTTGGTGATGGCCCCTGGGCTGGGGATGTGGGCCGCGACTCACATCGTCGGGCCTGAGGATTAGCAGAGTCACCCAGATGTTTACGCTCTCGAGCGCTTCTGGACAGGTCTCAGGATTCAGGCCTTTGAACTTGCTTGGCTTCTTGTCAGGGACTGTGGATTTTCATAATTACAGAGGTGGCTCACCTTCTGCTTTTGTCCTCAGAATTTATTCAGGGAGGTGAAAACCCGATGTAAATGGCCCTGGGGCAAGCATGCCCCTTACGAATCTAGAAAAGCAAATTATTCTTAAAGGGGGCCCCTCCTGTGCATGTCGATTAGAGAAAGTGGTAGCAATAGTGCAACCGGCAGGACTGTGTGGCGTCCGCACGCTCCCTGTGGCCTTCCTACCCTGGATGAGGTTGAAACCGGGAGAAAGCAGGTTAACTCAGACACTTCCGGCAACACATTTGTGGTATTTGCCCAAACGTGAAAATGCAGTTTTGGCTAATTTGGAACTGAGTGAATTTTGTCATTTATTCAGTTTCTTATGAAGAAATAAGAACTAACTTTTGTTTTTGAATAGTTACTGTAGCCTCATGGTTCAGAATTTAAAAGACACAATAAGGTTTACAGTGAGAATCTCCTTTCTGCTCTGTCCCACAACTCATTTCCCTCCCTGAAGGCAGCCACTGTTAGATTTACGCACATACAAACCACGTGTGTCACAGGCTTCCTCTGCCACTTTTACACACCTTGGCCCACTGTAAAGTCCTCTTACCTTGCCTCCTTGCTTCCCCCGCCCAAGTTTGTCTCAGAAGTGATCCATTTGTAAGAGTTTATAAAGAATGTCTTTGTGCTTTTTTCTATGACTGCATGGTATTCCAGTACATCGGTGTACTGTAAGTTGTTTAGTTAGTCCCTTAGTAAGGCATGTTCTGGGTTTTCTGGTTCTTAGCTGTTTCCAAATAGGGCTGCAGCAAATAACCTTGTACACAGTTGTTTTGCATAAATATGAGTTTATGTTTAAATAAATTCCTGGATCATCAAATGTGCTGCATCAGAGCACATGCATACTTGCTTGCATTAAATGTTCCAGGATTTCCCTCCATAGAAGTTGGGCCAGACTACATCCCACCAACCGTAAGTGGGATCCATAAATATGGTTGTCTGCCACTCCACTTCCAGCCCAGTGTCTTTATAGACTAATTGATCTTTACTGACACAACAAGTGAAAATGGTATCCTGGTGAATTTTCACTTTGCATTTCTCCTATTAGGAGTATGCTGTGTTTCTTTTATGATGAGCATCATTTCATTTGTGTAGGAACTGTGTTTCACTTCCTGTGAACTGGCCCTTGACCTGTCTTTTTCTGTTGGGTTACTGATCTTCTCATTGACATGCAGGAGGAATTGTGTATTTTTGACCAAGTCAGGACGAATTACAGGTGAAACCTGAAGGACTAAATAACCCTTATCCTTTACTAGGTTGACTACCTTGAAATAGTTCCAGACACTGAAAGGTACCCTGTGGCAGTGGCCACCGCTGGAGATCTGGTATACCTGCTAAAAGCTGAAGACTCTGCCAGAACCCTCCATTACGTCTACGGGCAGCCGGTCACATGTCTGGATGTCTCCGCCAACCAGGCTGCTTTTGGTGTGAAGAGTCTGGGATGGGTGTACGAAGGAAACAAGGTACAAAAATAGCAAGATGTACGATTTAACAAAAAAACATGAGTTTTATTTTTTAAGAGGCAATTTGAAAATTAAATCTCTCTGATATATTTTTAAAAGATGTGTTCAGGCAGTATACATTGATATATATAGTCAGCCTGGTTAAAAAGATTTCAAGTAGCTCAAAATGATTCAAAGTGGTAAGTAATTTCCTTTCTCTTCCCTTCCCCCAGCCCTACTCCATAGAAGAAACTATTAACAGTTTTTAGGTATCCATCTAGAACATTTTAATGCATAGATGGGTACATTTATACACCAAAAGAGCATGTCTTTGAAATGAGGTCATAGTGTACATACTGTTCTGTGCCCCGGGTTTTGTTCAGTAGTGTACCCTGGCGAGCATTCCTTGTCGGCGCCCTCTCCCTGGGATCCCAGCACTGCCTGCCGCGCAGTCTGCCTCACCAGGCTCCTCATCGGTGGGCACTGAGGTTGCTTTCCCTCTCTGTGGACTGTTACAGACAGTGCTCCAGGGCGCACTGCAGCTTGTAAATCTCTGGGATAAATTCCTAGCGTTTATGCCGCTTGGTCAGAAGGTTGATGGACATTGCCAAAGCGCCTTCTGATGAGGTTGCATCAAAATTTACATCCTTTTCCGCAGTGTGTAAAGCACCTCTTGATACTCTTTGAGCCAGAAACAAGGAGACAGGTTTTTAATTGAAATTCTTTTCATGATGACTCGATTTTAGCGCTACTTAGTATTTTACTATTCCTGACTGTAGGCCAAGTACTTAGTCTTAAAACTGACTTACAGAACTCTCTCTTCCAGTGGGATCAGCGGAGAGAGTTTTGGATAAAGGTTTGTGTTGTTTTGATTTTCCTCCAGTTTGCTGGCTCCTGACCCTGCTGGCAGTGGGTATAATCCCTGGGAAGGAACTTCCCTGAGCCAGCAGCTCCTCTGACATCGTCGTCTTTTTCCTGTGGAAAAAGCCCTTCCCATGTAGCAGTGTTGTGAACTGGGAGAGAGCCAGACTGGATGCGGGCCGTCTGTGTTCCGGTTGCAGTCCTGCTGCCCGCTCCCCACTGTAACCTTAAGCAGGTGGCTTAACCTGCATTGTGCCTCAGTTTCCTCATTTGTAGAAAGGAGTCCATCACAGTCCATCATAGGATTCTAGGATTAAAGAAACACGCATGTAAAACTTTACCCATAGTGCCTGGCGTAAGAACCGCTGAGTGCTTCCTATTCTTTCTCGCACTCATAGTCTGAGCCGAGCCTCTGGTTGTGGTTTGTACATTTTGTCTCTCCTTTGTAGCCTCTTGGAAGGTCGCATCTCACTTCTCTAGGCATTCACTGGTTTTGCGACTTGGATTCCTGTTTTATGTTCTTCAACCAGGAAGACAGATAAATTGGTTGAAAATACATGAGACTCATTGTCATCTCACTGTAAGAAGGGGGATCCCTTTGTGCTCAAGCTGGCCTGCTTTGCTGGAGTCTGTTCAGCGTATCTTAGCTGGAAAGTCTGTGATGATATAATTCCTGTGTTTTGTCTTCCTGGAAAGTGGGGGAAAAGGGACAGCAGTTGGTTTCCTAAGGCAGTTTCCTTTGTCAGCCTTTGAAAACACTCTTTTCCCATCCCTGGCAAGCTCATTTGTTGAAAGAAGAGAGACTATTTGCTTCTTAATTTTTCATCCATCATGCTTTCAGGTTTCGATTATCTCACTTATTTCTCAAGTTCTCAGTGTAGTGAGGTGATAGCTGAATTATACTAGCCTGGTTTAAATCTTTCATAGTTTTAATAAATTTTTCAGCTGACGGGTCCTATTTCTCTTTGACTTATCTGAGTGGATCTCTTTCTATAGTGATACAGTCATAGTGGATGTATTTGAGAAACCAGTTAAAGGGATGCGTGTGTGCTCAGTTGCTCAGTCATGTCCAACTCTTTGTGACCCCCATGGACCATAGCCTGCCAGGCTTCTCTGCCCATGGAATTTTCCAGGCAAGAATATTGGAGTGGGTTGCCATTTCCTCCTTCAGGGGATCTTCCCGACCCAGGGAATGAACCTGTGTCTCCTGCATTGGCAGGCAGATTCTTTACCGCTGTGCCAGCTGGGAAGCCAAGCCCCCAGTTAAAGAGATAGCTCAGCACAAAATTAGACTTGGAGCATCCTTTAGATATTGGTCTAAGTAGGCACTTTTTTGGATGGCTCTCAAATTTTCCAACCCAGTTGAAAAGCATTAATTATGAGAATTAGCTGATTTGTGTGTTAATTTGATAAAAATTCATTTTAAAAAGTTCCTATTCCCTCTAATAACTTGTTGTTGTTCGCTTACCAAGACATGTCTGGCTTTTTGCAACCCCATGGACTGCAGCACCCCAGGCTTCCCTGTCCTTCACTATCTCCTGGACCTTACTCAGACTCATGTCCATTGAGTCAGTGATGCCAACCAACCATCTCATCCTTGGCCATCCCCTTCTCTTGCCCTCAGTTTTTCCCAGCATCAGTGTCTTGTCCAGTGAGTCGGCTTTTCTCATTAGGTGCCCGAAGTATTGGAGCTTCAGCTTCAGCATCAGTCCTTCCAATGAATATTCAGGGTTGATTTTCTTTAGGAATGACTGCTTTGATCTCCTTGCAGTCCAAGGGACTCTCAAGAGTCTTCTGTAGCATCACAGTTTGAAAGCATCAGTTTTTCGGTGCTCAGCCTTATCTATGATCCAACTCTCACATCCATTCATGATTCCTGGATAGCTTTGACTAGATGGACCTTTGTCGGCAAAGTGATGTCTCTCCTTTTTAATAGGCTATCTAGGTTTGTCATAGCTTTTCTTCTAAGGAGCAGGCATCTTTTAATTTCATGGCTGCAGTCATCATCCGCGGTGATTTTGGAGCCCAAGAAAATAATGTCTGTCACTTGTTAGTGGGTGTTTTTCATTGGTGTTTTAAGAGTGGAAGTAAATTTGCTACAAGAATGTGTTTAAGCTCCTCTCTGAAATCTGGCAATGGCATTTAGTTATCCAGAGGTTTTATGAGTACACCAGCGAACGTTCATACACTTGGGTGGGTGGGTGGGTTGTTGTTAGTAGCACTGGTGAGAACTCTGCATTAAGATGTTGCTCCAACATGAATGCCACCCACTCGAACGTGAGGGAAGCCAAGCCTTTGCTGTGAAACTTTCCTTATTTTTGCAGAGGCGGAACTTTCCGTCTGATTATGCTCAATGGGTTTTCTCCTTCCTCAGAAAAATCAGCATTGCTGTGTGAATTAAGCCATTACACAGTGGCTCTGTGAGGTTTCAGTAGCATCCTGCCATTGCATGATGCACTATTGTAATTCTCAAAGTCTTTTGTGTGGCCTCCTAGTCACCTGGCTTGTGAGTTCCACACTTTGGTCCTGTTGGTTGCCAGCCTGGCAGCACATGAACAGCACTTTTTATCAGGTTCGTGTGAGACTGTTAGCAGCAGAGTGAGCCTGGAGCTGTGTCCATGTGGGAATTTGTGTCTGCCTCTGGCCATATGTCCAGGATTCAGATGAAGGCTTTATGGGAACACAGAGTTTGGTGTATCTTTGTTTGTACCAGATACAGAACTGGGGTAAGCTAGGGCCCACTATTGACTGACTGATAAATGCAGCTGTGAAGTCCAAATGTTGATGTCGATTTTTTGGCGGGAACTGAAGTTTCCCTGACCTGTAGGAGTATTCCAGTAGTGTTATTTTTGTTTACTTGGAGAATATCCTTGTACCATCTGATAATCACATTAGCATTCTTTAGATACCACAGCTGTTTGAGCATAGTAATAATGGTTCAGACTCATCCATTCACATGCCTACTAGCCAACCTGTCACGTATTCATCACAGAAAGTTACAGGATACCAGTCGTGTTTCAGCATTTTAAAATTAAAACAGCATTGTGCACACGCCTCAGTAGGTTTCTAAGCTAATAAACATAGTTTTCTAAGGAAATGAAGCTAAGTGACTTAGGAGAATTTGATTTATTTAAGGAAACACATGTGATTACAGCTGGCTCAGCCATGTCCAGCTCTTGTAGGAAAGACCAGAGAAAACGTTAGTGGTCAGCTACATCTTGGTTTGCCCGTGGCATAGGGATCCTCAGATTTCTGGATTTCAGAGGCCAGAATTAGAGGCCATGCCTGGGTTTACCACCTTTTTCTTTGGTCAGGTAAAGTCATGGAAAAATGGCTATTATCTATTTTCATTCTTTCTTTCATTCTTTCATTCTTTCATCTGCTCTTCTAAGAGCAGATCTTTAAACACCCTTGAAAAAAAAGTGTTTTTTGACTCGGTAATGCATTTACCTGATTCAGAAATCAAAAGATGCGAAAGGGAGGGTGTGCAGGGGATGACTCCTCCCGCTCCTGTCGACCTGCCGCCCAGGTTCTCTTCCTGGAGCTAAGACAGTGTCTTGTGCATCCCTTCAGAGACATTTTATGCATCTGTAAGCAAATTATTCACACATGTCCTCTGTCCCTTCTTTCTAAAAAATATAAATGGTAAAACACACTATTTTTGTCCTGCATCTTGCTTTTTCTTGCAACAAAATGTCTTGGAGATCCATTTCATCATTTCTTGTAACATAATAAAGAACTTAATGGTAGCTTGTGTGTGTGTGTGTGTGTGATTTAATGATATTGCACTTTGTAGTTGTCCCTTAAGTAATTAGGCTATCTTACTCCCTGTTGATGGATGTTAGCTTGTTCCCAGTCTTTTGCTATTGTGAACAACACTTGGTCCATGTGAACGTATTTGTAGGATTAGTTCCTCAAAGTAAAGACTTGCTGGGTCATTTGATAACTGTTGCCCTCTGTAGAAGGCGTTCCTTGGAAAGTGGTGGATGGCAGTGCATCCCATTCTCCTCACTGTTCCTTAGCATCTTTCCTCTCAACAGGCTTTGCAAAAAGGCCACAAACAAAATGAGGCCAGAGGGGATAAACAGTGCTCTGTCTGGTCCTGACTCTCATTTAAATTATTTTGTGGCACTCTGCTTTGATGATGAATGACCTCATCT